CCCCTTTAATTAATTCACCCCCTCTAATTAATCCAGCCCTCCCTTTAATTAATTCACCACCCCTTTAATTAATTCACCCACCTCTAATTAATCCAGCCCACCCTTTAATTAATTCACCCCCTCTAATTAATCCAGCCCACCCTTTAATTAATTCACCCCCCTCTAATTAATCCAGCCCACCCTTTAATTAATTCACCACCCCTTTAATTAATTCACCCCCTCTAATTAATCCAGTCCACCCTTTAATTAATTCACCCCCTTTAATTAATCCAGCCCACCCTTTAATTAATTCACCACCCCTTTAATTAATTCACCCCCCTCTAATTAATCCAGCCCACCCTTTAATTAATTCACCACCACTTTAATTAATTCACCCCCTCTAATTAATCCAGTCCCCTTTAATTAATTCCCCCCCCTTTAATTAATTCACCCCCCTTTAATTAATTCACCCCCTTTAATTAATTCACTCCCTCTAATTAATCCAGCCCACCCTTTAATTAATTCACCCCCCTTTAATTAATTCACCCCCCACCCCCTTTAATTAATTCAATTAATCCCAGACATAAAATATCTAGCGGTACTCACATTTCAAAGATTCCTTGCCGAGTCCGACCACTGGGAGCCTCACCGCCCGGAAATGGATCCTTCCGCTGAAGATCCGTGAAGGCAGACTGACGGCGCAGCAAAATGTCGTCATCACGTTGCGCGACGCTCCTCCTACAGCAGAAGAAGGAAGTCTCGCCGCAAAGGTACAATGCCTAGGTCTTATTTTCGGGGTAGGGCTTATATTGCAGCCCACCCCGAAAATCCGACTAGGGCTTATTTTCGGGGTAGGGTTTATTTTCGGGGAAACACGGTATCATCTAGATCTGCAACCTCCTTCTACAATCCCACCCTCTCCTGCAGCAAGCAAATGCAGCAAGCACCCCCAACATCAACCTTGGCACACCAACCTTGGCACACCAAGCTGACACAATATCTTCAAAAATGCACCAGAATTGCTGAACGCTGTTGGAGAAATTTTCACTGTGCGTCTGACTTTCTCCACTATAAATTTATGCTTGGCTCTTTCCTCTGCAAAAGTAAATTACTTCAATACCCTCATAACCACACTCTCCCACGAACCCAAATGACTATTTCACACATTTATCTCTCTTCTTCGCCCTATTGTTCCTCCTCCACTTACTAACTTGACCACCTCAGACTTTGCAACTCACTTCACTGACAAGATCTCTACAATCAGGGAAGGGATCACTCATCTTTCTTCTTCCCCCTACAATACTTCCCCTAACCTCATTCCCTCTGCTGTTCTATGTTCATTCATATTCGCTACAGTGGCAGAGGTTTCTGCTCTGCTCCAGTCCTCCCACCCCACCAACTGCTCCCTAGGTCCAATTCCCTCGCCTACTCTGTCTTCTTCTCTTTCTCTACCTCTCACTAAAATTCTCAATCTCTCTCTCCTCTGGCATATTTCCATAGCCCTTGAAACATGCAACTGTAACCCCAATTCTAAAGAAGCCTAACCTTGACCCTAACTCCCCATCCTATTACCGTCCAATCTCGCTACTGCCTTTTGCAACCAAGATCCTTAACCCCTTAAGGACCAAACTTCTGGAATAAAAGGGAATCATGACATGTCACACATGCCATGTGTCCTTAAGGGGTTAAAAGAGTTGTGTATGCGAGATTGACAGACTTCCTCGAGTCCAATTCTCTGCTAGACCCGCTTCAGTCTGGTTTCTGCACTAAGCACTCTGTAGAAACAGCACTTACCAAAGTATCCAATGATCTACTCGCTGCAAAATCTTGTGGTCACTACGCTATCCTAATTCTCCTTGACCTTTCTGCAGCTTTTGACACTGTTGATCATCAACAGCTTCTTCTCATCCTCTGCAATATCAGTCTACAAGATATTGCTCTCTTCTGGTGCTCCTCCTACCTCTACCAGCGCTTTTTCAGTGTTTCTTTTCTGGCTCTGCTTCTTCTCCCCAACTCCTCCTCCTCTCTGTTGGTGTCCCCCCCTGTCTTTGGTCCCTGTAACAGATCACCTAGCACCCCAACTGGGCACCTCCAGGAC